ATCACAAGGTGGGGCTGCAAAAGTGGAAAGCTTCCCATCTCCAAATGCCAGGCAGACATACCTGTAGCTGTTTCCTTTCTGCCGCTCCCTCACCAAATTCAGCTCCCACTGGGCCTCACCAAGTGCTTCCCCAGAGCCTAAGAAGGAGGCAACACTCACAGCGGGCCAGAAGAATGCACACCGAGGCAGAGGAGGTCGCGCACAGAGTCAGGACTGACTCTGTGCGACTGGAGCCGAAGCTGCTCGTGCAGAGACGAGCTGGACTGGTATCCTAGCAGGCCGAACAGTTTCTCAATCTGTGGCATCGACAGCACCGGTTTGATATAGTGGGTAATATACCGGAGTACATCTGGAACACAAAAATTAATTAAAAATGGGAAAATGTACAAGGTTTCCACCAATATCATATTTTAAGTCCAGTGATTTTGTCCTGAACGGTCATGCCAAAAAATAAAACTAGTATTGAATCCTGGATTTTATTCTTGTCAGGGTGGAAAAAACCTTTTAATTAAAATTTAATTTCATGATAATAAAATAATATAATAATAATAAATAAATGACATTCATGGTGTTGTGATACTTTAAGAAGAAACTCAGAAGTAAACTGATTTCTTAACACAAACACCGACATTTAATTATTTCAGCTGGTTTTTCAGCCAACCTTGACTACTTTGTACTCCTCCCTCCAAGGCCCAGGTAGAGGTTCAGGGCCACTTGCTCCAGGACCTCAAAAGCTTTAGCCAGGCCTTGCAGCCCCCCTCTGGCTCGGACTCGCAAGCGCTGGCTGCTGCTGTTGATGCTGCTGTTGCTGCTTTGAGCGACTCCTCCATCACCCTCAGTGGATCCAGACCAAGGCAGTGTGTCTCCTGAGCATCTCCGTCCCTCAGTAGCTCCTCCACCTGCTTCCATAGCTCCTCATCGCTACATGCTAGGTTGGAGCCTCGTCCCACAATTTGCTGCTCCAAACTGTGATCGTAGGCGCTCACTAGATCTCTGGCTCTCTGCGTAGAGATGCTCATCTCTTCATTCAGCTGAGAAGGGGGACAAACAGGACACTGAAATGAAGGCTGAAACTTGTTCACTTGTTCTCTCCCGATCATAAATGCACCATATTACAGAACTGTACAGAATTTATATTTAACAAACACTGATCTAATAAATTATTAGTTGCAAGGTTTCCCCTCTTGGAAGGATCAGATTTTCTTAAATGAAAAGCAAGACGGCGTTCAGTAGGAGACTTGTAAGTAAATTGTATTTTGACCAGTTTCCAACAACCACAAGAGAAATACAGTTTACCTAAACCTAAATGTAACAATACACATGCTCCATAATCGCTAAATCCAACTCAAAGGGTGGTTTCGGCATTGTTAAACCTGGGCCCTATTTTCACATATTTTGGAGTTGAAATGACTAGTAGGTACAAAAAGGTTTGGGATCAGTGCAGAAGATGGCTTCAGCCTGCAGCTGCAAACCGGCTGCAACACATTCCTTCGGGGCATTTGCGCCTGTCTTCCACAAAAAGTGCTGATTAACTTAATGTCAATGCATAAAGAAGCAGCAGGCATTGTTTAACTACATCACTGACAAACAGCCAACCACCTTCAGAACAGCAGTGTTTCAAAGTGAGAGAGTACATGACTTGTCATGTACTCTCTCCACTTTGAAACAATCAGGGCTGCTCTAAAGGAGGTTCGTACCAATAACTGTCACTCTTTTCATCATTTTCTTCTTAATTTACGCACTTATCCTCAGAGTTTCAGTTCGTTCAGCTTGTCCACTAACGTTACAGTGTGGGTTCACCATATTCACTGCTCTTTGGTTGGAGGCTGACTGTGCAAACTTAATAAACACTAAAATAAAAATACACATGGGGTAAAAAGAATCTGCAATTGGTGTCGTGAGTGCAACACAAGCTGAGGGAAGTATGGACACAACAAATATTAATATTACAACCTTTTGCTGCCTGTCATGTTACAAACTACGTTAGCTATTATTATTTGTTGCGAGCGTAAGCACATTTATAACCGAAAGTGAAACTTGTGACAGGCCTAAGTGAAAGAAAAAAGTAACGTAAGTGTAACGTTACCGATGACTTGATGTACTTTAAGCACACTACGTGTACAACGCCGCCGTTGTAACATTAACTTGTTCAGCGTTAAAAGTTTTACATTTAACGTTATTTAACATCAGCCGGAGAAAAGTCAATATTCGTCTGCAGCCCAGTCTGACGTTAGCATTAGCTTAACCTATTTCCACACTGACTAGCTATTTTGCTAGGTTAACTTACCCGTTACTGCTTTAGGTTTTTAATGGCGAGAACTTCACACCAAATCGCTTATAATTAAGTGCAAATTTAAAAGTATTTTACTTAATTCATCGAAGAGTTTGTCATCAAACACCACTCCAAACGTTTTTCTTAAACCCGGTTTACATACAATCTACCAACCAACGAAAAGTCAACTTTCAGAATTGGGCCAGACTGCTCTCCACCACCAAACAACGCGTTAAATATATGGGCAAGGAGCCAGGAAGTAACATCATATCTCCTCAGAAAAGTACAGATTTCCTATGAAGAAGAATTTCATGTTGTTTTGGACATACGCCGAGTTATAGGACGACTGTCGTTGATTTAGAGACACGTTGTGGTTCGGGTTTTTGAAGGCGTCTTTTGCCGATACGCAAGGCAATATTAAATTACTTACACTTATGAATGACAATCTCAATTCAAGAAAAAAGTGTCGAAGCTAAGCTAACCTCGTAACTAACTTAACGTTACAGCTGAAAGTTTGATCCAAATATAACGTTAAGCCTTGGTTGGCCCACGAGAGACACACCAACTCACCTGTGTCTGGAAGTTATTCAGATTTTTTGTCATTAAATCATGTAAAACATTTCCGGCTACAAAGTAGTCGCCGCGCAGCTGTGATTGTCGTGGTTAAAGTAAACATTGTCACGTGGCACGGGTTTTCCCAGACGGGTGCGCGTGGTTGTGGTATCAGGGCGGGCCGGGGAAGAGGAGTTCTGCTGTGGACTTTGAACTCAAAATGCTGGATCAAAACGACATTGAAAACGAAATAAAGAGATAACAGACTGAAACTAGATTTTACGTAATTTATCGATAAAAATGACCAGTTTAACTTACCCAGCTTATATTGTCAAAAACGTATCATCCACTAGATGGCAGCATTATCTATTTTAAGGGCCCTACTTCGACAGCCTACATGAACTGAATGTCTTTTCATTAACGTCAATCTGCGAGTAAACTCGCGCGCACACGCACACACACAGTCCTGTGGTGAAGACAGTGGGGAGCCTCTTTTGCTGACCTGCGGGCGTGGCTTGAGTGACACCGGTAGAAGGGCGGAACTGTGGCCCCTGAATTTATTTTAAAGCATCATGGGTTGGTCCTGATGCTCTGCACAACTCAGCAACTTCACTTCCAGCGGACTCAGAGTGTCATCCTCCGCCCTCCAGCAGGCCCGTGCAACTGCAGCCAGCATGTCAAACTCAGACAGAGTTGTGTTAGCTCTAGGAGGAGCGGGGACAGTGGGCTCTGGGATAGTTAAAGCACTGCTGGACAAAGGTAAGCTGCTCAGGGGCCACAAGGAGACACAAAGAAACCACTTCTCTTCTGCTAGGAGGAGATATAAGAAATATTCTCAGCATATTCTTTGGAGCAGAGGACGATATTACATTTTCTATTTTAAGTCTGAAATCCTAATTAATTTGGAGACGATCTAAACAGTTTTGTCTCCATCTCGCAGGTTTTCGCAGGGGGAATTCCATCATGATTAACGGCTGAGAATTTTTATGAGTACTTTATGAGCATTAAATGTCTGGCTTTTAATCCGATGTTGATGGCGCGTCTGCGTGCGTAAATGTCAATTAGCGGGTTTATCTCCAAGCGCAAGCATTTTACTGAGAGATCAAACAATCAAGTATTTGGCCAAAATCGTTGTGCAGCACTGTGCTGTACATTCAAGGGTGGGTAGTTGGATTCCTGCGAGTCAAGCCAGAAAACATTCAAGGCGCGTCAGAATTGGTTTTGGCTGTGCGCACAATGATCCATCAAGTGTTCACAATACTCACATGCCCTAACTTACTGTGGGCATGAACCCGACAATCACTATTGAACATAGTGTGATATGATATAAAATATATATTGGCAGGGGTAAAGGTTGTTCACACCCATATAAATTTAATTTAATTTAACCCAGATCGTGAAAAATTGAATTGAAAAAATTCACAGGGAAACTGATGAGATTTTGTATAATATAGAATGTGTGCGCGGTGCAGTCAAAAAATGCTTCTTGGATTTTATTTGTTTTTCAACGACATTGACATTTTCATACAGTATGGACAACATGATTTACATTCGGCTACATGTGAAAATTGATAATGTAGGTTTAACGGTTACTATCTGCGCTTTAATTATGTGAGTTTATGATCACTAGTGGATACTTCCTGTCATTATCCTTTTATAAACTTTATGTTCTATGGTTGTAGTTGGGTGTAATTTCGGTTTTGGTTCATCTTCACCCCACTTTAGAGGCTGTTTCAGTCCCAAAGATGAAATGTATTTGGGTTAGTTATTGTGCTCTGCTGCCTCTGCATCCTGCATGAACCAGTGAAAGAGACCTGCAGGACGCTGTGATGAGAGTACACTGGTTTTAGATTTACATTGCATGTCCGGACCCTTGCTGTTTGCCCTGAGCAGAAAGTTCCCATCTGCTCTTCTGTCACATTTATCCCTCTGATGACCTTGATAAACAGATTAGGACAATGCAGGCCTATTAGTGAATGTTTTTATGTGAGAGGGATTAGACCCACTGTATGTGTTAAATGTGCTGTTGTCTGTCTGCACTATGGATTAATGTAGTATCTGCTGTGCATGTGTGTGCGCGTGTGTGTGTGCGCGCGTGTGTGTGTGTGTGCAGGTTTCAAAGTCGCAGTGATCTCCAGGGACAGCAGCCGGCTGGAGAGACTCCAATCATTTGTCTCTCCCAACACAAAGGAAAACCTTACCACTATAGTGGGGAATGTGGGTACGTTGAGTTACACATCCTTTCATTCATCTAGATAGCTGTCTGTCATCCCTCTATCGTCTCTCCCGTGGGTGAACAAGTGGGGACTGTTTTCTCTTCCCCACAGCCCCTCTCTGTGAGTCAGGCTGATGTCATGTCATCCAATTTGTATACAGTGGGAATTTGCATCTCACTGAGAGCTGCCCATGTAAACTTGTAATGCATATGGCAACATACAGCATGTGCATTGTAAATAATCTCTAGCAGCCCCAAGAGGCTGCAAAGTTTATTGTATTACACCAATAACATTTCATCCTCAGTTCCTCCTCTGCACTCCACCATAAGTAATAGTTTTCTGGGGGGGGGGGGGGGGGGTTATTCTTGCATAGCATGAAAGGACTACAGCTTGCATTTTGTTGTACACCCCTGTGTTGCATAATGATAGATAAATCAACTTTGAACTGGAAGAAATAAAATGTTACAGCTTTATCAGTAAAGTACAAGTACAAGCATACGAGTCTAAAGTCACAGATATTGATCTAAAATGCCTGAAGGACGTTCTCAGCTGGACCACCGTGTGGACGCCTTTTCTCTCCTGAATCCTTCTCTCTGTTCCAGGGTCAGAGGAGGGAGCAGAGAAGGCAAAGCAGGCCCTGCTGAAGGCGGTGGGTAAGGTGACAGACGTTGTCTCCTCTTTGGGCTTCAGTTGGTGGCAGGGAGGACCACCACACACCCAGTCTCTCAAAGACCTACACTGGGTGAGCACACACCAGACATCAGCTGGACGGATAAATCAGACTGCCAGTGGTTCTGATTAAATATTATATTTTCTTTGTATTCCAGTAAGGATATATACTATTATAATATATAACTATTATTACTGGTAATAGTAATACTAGTGGCAGTAATGGTAGTTGGAAGAGTAGTTTAAATAGTAAGCTTTTCCTGGTTATCAGCGGAGAGTTCTCCTATAATATCATGTCTGAATGTTGTTGCAGAGGTTTTTCCTCAATACAATAATTTTGATTCTTGTCTGATTTGTTTCATATTTCATCTCCCATCACCCCTCTAGGTAATTGAGACATTACTTTTCAGCACATTTGTGTCATGGAAGGCCTTCTTCCCCTTGGTGAGGGACGACTCCAACTGTACCTACACCTTCATAACAGGTGACTCCTTAAGCCATTTATTCCTACGAGCGCTAGAGACACACCGAGAGAAGTGAACTGAAGTGAACTGCGGTTTGGTTTTTACAGAAGCCAGAAGAACACAAAGGCTCATGCATAATAAGCAGGAAATATGATTGTTAAAGCTGCGTTAGAGACGGACAGCAAAATTATTTTCGACATATCTCATAAAGTCAGTGTGGCAAACACGTTATCAAACAGACACAGAGCAGCAGTGAACTTTGTTTCTGGCCACCATGTCCAACATTTGTACAGTATTGTACAGTGTATCTGAGCATTTTCATGGAAATTGCTTTCAGGTGTCAGGTGATCTGTCTTTATTATAAGAAATATTGATTACTACAGCTTTAACTTAAATGAGCATATAAAAGTCTGTAACAATGTATGTTGTTATGTTCAGTAAAACCAAAACAATCCATGATTTTTTCATAATCAAAGTACAGATGATTCCTTTCATTTGTGTGTTGTGGTCTATAGTCACCTCAACCACAACTCTCTAAAATAATCAGATGGTCTAAAATGAGTGTGCTAGTGTGTGTTTATATAATTTTCTGCCCTCTGCTGCCACAGGTGGAGCAGGTGAGAAGTTGCTGATGCCTGGTACGGGCTTCCTGACAATAGGAGCTGCTAGCACCCTGGCCTTCTGTCAGGTACTGCGAGGGGAGTACCCTGAGGTTCCCTGCAAACTCAACCAGGTGAGACTTAAATGGGATTACACAGCGAGACTTCAATTGACAAAGCACCAAAGCCTCAGACCTGTTCATGTATTTAGTTCTCACCAGATTATCAAAGAAATCCTTCAGTTTTCTGTCAAGATCCTGTCATTTTCCCCACAGTGCAGCCAGAGGCTTTAAAGAGGAAAATCAGTTCTCTTTTTCACATAATGCAAGTTGTAGAGGATTTCTTATCTGCTCTGTAAATTACATCCTTCACGGTTCCACTTCGACCTTTCATTCTCAACGTTGTTGTGCACACATAATTCCTGTGCCTTTGAGTTTTACCTCTGAATAAAGTGGTTTAGATAGTCTGGATAAAGTGTTGGTTTGATTACAACCTGTCTGATGGTCTGACTACTCATGTCATGTTGAAAAATATATTTTATAGATATCACTGTGTCCCCACATTTTAGCAGTTAATTTGGTGCTATACGTCAGACTGGCATGTCATCAAGTCCCCAAGAATCTGCTTTCACATAACGAGAATAACAAGAAAATGTAGAAAAGCTGTTGTATAGCAGGTTGTAAAACATGTAATATACAAATCCAGATCTGATTTTAGGCATATAAGATTCCCGAACATTGTGTTCATGATGTGTTGCAAGCGATGAAAACTACGAAAGTGACTCAAGTTACAATAAACCTGAACGCTTTAAGTTTAAACAGCTTGTGCGAACATCACAGTTAAAACCTTTTCTGTGCAGAGGTCAGACTTACACAGTGACAGTCAGCAGATGACCTGATAAACTTTCCCGCCTCTCTAACCTTCTCTTGTATGTATCCCATCCCCTCTCTATATCTCTGTCTTCCTTTGTTGAATGGTTGTGGCAGGTGAAGATTGACACAGGTGTAGCCACTCCAGAGCGCATGGCACCTGGTTACCTGAACCACTTGGACCTGGGCGAGGCTGTCGCCACCCTTGTGGAACGACGAAAAACTTCCCACACTGTCTTCACCATCAACTGCCCCGCAGACTTAAAAACTGTCCTTCTGGAGAGGAACCTTTAGACCTGGAAACCCTTCCTCCAGCCCTGCCTTGTTGTCACAGGGACATATCTACACTTCTTCTGTTCCTAATGTTAATGAACTCTCCAGAAACACAGTGTCTTTGGTTCGTCGGTTTTCTTCTCCCATAACTCCGAACCCCATCCATGCACAACTGTATGTGAATTGTCTGTTGATTCCACTAACACTGTATATTCTGCTGCCTGTTCTCAGATTGATAGCAACTGGCTTCTCTGCATGTGCTGTTGTGTGATATATGGGGGAAAAAAACGCACAGGGTTTGAAATACTCGCTCACTTCTCATTGCTGCCTGCTTCTGTACAAACGTTATCGCACACACAGTTCTGTTCTGTCTTACATCGTGGGAAGGCATAATACCCAAAATAACCTCTGCGATTTCAACAATTTAACAACTGGTCAAAAAGAGTAGGGTGGTTGGTTGTAGATTATCTGATCGTATGTATCTATAAATCTGGAATTAAAGGTACCCTGTGGAGCAATGGAGTAGTGTCTTGATAAGCGAATCCCCATTTTGGTCTTTATTAGCACTATGGAGGCACATGCGAGCATTGTGCTGTTCCACCGATTGACAGTTAGTAGCCAAAAAACTTACCAATGTGTGAGCAAAATGCAAAGAGGAAGCTAGCATAATATGCTGTATATAAATTATGTAGGTTTTTAAGACTTTGACAAAAATCGACGTGAAGTGTTTAATGTCGTTGAAAGCACTGAATGTAAGTTTAACTGTGTTTACAAGGCAACTCCATAGGGTATCTTTAACATCTTGATATAAAGTACACATGGTTGAAGAGTGGGGGCTATATAGCTCTTACACTATGACCAATGACCTGAAATGTTAAGGACTTAGAGATACTGGAGATGATTAGATGTTAGATGATTTAAGCACTTTGTATGATGCACACGTACCCCTTACAGATGGAAACCATGGCTTTGAATAGTAAGACTCATTGGTATGGCATGAAGAACAAACCGCCTGAACCTGACTGATTATGGATGCACAGCATGGCTTGGCCCATTTTAACCTCTTTGTAGAGCTTTGATTAGGTAAAAATGGAAGCTTCAATATCCAATGTTTTGCATTCAAATGCCAATAAAGGACATATGTTCTACATTATTGATCCTGTGTGTTCATTGCAGTATTTTTGTCTGAAAACTGTCTTTTTAGTATTGTTAAGGACACTTTATAGGGGACATTGCAGCACTGTAACTAAATTAATGCAATTAACTGAGCAAGTAGGTTGATCTTCGGGCGGGGCGGGTTTGATATATTTATATCCCCCTTGCGTGACTCTCTGTCCCCGATAGACCCATTTATCTTCCACCCGTTATTTGGGGCAGCATGTCCCTTAGATAAACTGAACACAAGTTTAGAGGCCACGGCGGACTGCAGTATCAGGTCAAAGGGGGCATTGTTGTCTTGTATCCCAGCCTGTTAACACATGCATGTTACCACAACAAGAACGCCATGCAAAAAAAGATGCCTGTACTTTGGAAGAGGATAGTAAGACAAGAACTGGACAAGAACGCAGAGTGGGGAAAACAAGAGTAATAGTAGTTGGGGGGTGAGGGGGCGGTGTGTCTTCTTGTTTTGAAATTGTCGGCTGACAGCTCAATTAGGCCAAATTATAATTAAACTGCAAGGGAGAACCCACTGGGCCCCACTTTCTCTTCCTCTTCATCTAATCCTCTTTCTCTCGGAAACAGTCATACGCGTCCACACAAACGACCATGTTCACCCTCTGACAATGACTCATCTCATTCTGATAAGAATAATAAACTGCCTTTTGTTTAGGATAGAACGAGGGGCCACGGTCATCTAAAGGAGACTCGACAGACTGAGGATCACTCACAAAGGATATGTGAGTGAACAGATCAAATGAAACGAGAGAAGGTTGGGGGAACCGTTGCTGTATGAAGAAGAGAGAGTATGAGGAGTTGTAAAAGGGTCTAATTATCATGTATTGGATTAAACATTGAATACAACTCAATGTATGAAGTACAGTACTGTGCAAAAGGTGTATGAAAAATGCTGTCAAGTAAGAATTATTTTAAAAATAGGCAAGTAATTTCACTTGCATAAGGCCAAGGATCTTGTAAGCATATTGTCAGGTGTATGATTAAACAATTTACCAAACAGGTGATTATTAGTTCCTTCAAAATTAATAACTTTTTCACCAAATCCATCTGGTTTTATATTGCTTCCCCTTCTTCTAGCAAGCTGGGTCACAACACATGTCAATGTATTCATGCATTTCCAAAAAGTATGAATGGGAATTTAAGTTCTAGCTGAAAGTATGAATGAGTGGAAGGCATGAAACATTCCATCCATATTTTATTTAAATTCCCACAAAACCATGAACATTTTGGAATATATTAAAGGTGTAAACAATAAAAGTAATAGCCGGGATGTCCTAATTGAGCTGAATGTTTTTATGTTTGAATGATGTTTCTATGTTGAAAAATGTGGAGCTGCCAAAAAAAAGAGGCTGAACAATAATAACGAGCTAGAAGAACAGGTTGTGAATACCTCCAGCAACACCAAAAAAGTGTTAGAAGTCGCTACAACTGTAGGGTTCCCCTGACTTTTCCTACAGTTTCAACAGCAGGTCAAAATTTTCACCTATCCAGTGAAATACCTCGACATCTACAAGATGGATTGCCACAAACCCAGACATCCATGGTTCCCCCGATGACGTATCCTACTGATTTTGGTGATCCCCTGACTTTTCTTCTAGCGCCACCATGAGACTGAAATGTTTGTCTTTTAGTGAAATGTCTTGACAACTCTTTGTCATGGAATTTGGTACAGACATCCAGGTCCAGGTCAACATAATAAATTCTCCAATACTTTGGTTTATGACCAAATCCCAAATCCAGTATTTGTTTACACTCAAGCCGTGTGGCGGGAACCTGAAATTAATTTTGGATGGATCCCATATTTTGATTTAGAATAAGAGTTTAAGCAGGACAAAGCAGCTATAGCTTGGAGGTAGAGCACCAGACCAAAAATGAAAACATCTGTGGCTCAATTGGCGGTCAATGTGTCATGTCATGTAAAGAGCTTTGAGTGGTCAGAAGACTAGAAAGATGCTATCCAAGTTCAGTCCATTAACCATAAGAGAAGTTATCAATAACCTAGGGTAAGTGGGGTAATAGCTCAGAGTGAATGCTTTTATTTTGACAAAGTAACTGAATAAAGCGTAAGTGCAAAGGGATGGAGACGTCTTTGTTTCAGCCCTGCCCCTTTACCTGATGATACAACAGATTACTGTTAGAGCCCAGAGATGATGGAAACGATGGAGGAAGAGCAGTTCAACAGTTGAGAGCAGGGTGTAAAATTGCCCCTCTGCTTTTGATTAAAAACTGGAGTGGGTGAGATGAGAGGGATTAAAATGTTAAACCCAATGGAAAAAGGAGCTGTGATCTTGGCAGTGTGGCACTCTGCCTTTCGTGAGAGAGCAGCGAGACCTCACCAAAGCAGTGTTGAAGCTTTCCGTTTCTGAAAAGCCAACACACCACATACTGACTCGCCCGGCGACACCGCAAGAATTCGTCAGACAGACTGACTGACAAACGGTAGTTTAGTTAGAGAGGCAGGGCAGCTATGAATGCAGGAGATTGTGTGTGTGTGTGTGTGTGTGTGTGTGTGTGTGGGGTCCATAGTGAGATATCATCTTTCCCTAGTCTGTTGAGTCACAAGGAGGAGGAAAAAGTGGACAGAGGGATGAACAGCCCATAAATGCTGCATCTACTCAATAACAGCTGTCTGCAGGCTTGTTGCTTTGGAAATGATTGATAGAGGCTCACACTCCAGAGGCCTGTGTCATATCAGCAGCCAGTTTTATGGTCAGGGAGGCACAGAGTCAAAACTCTCAAGTCACGCTATCTCCGCAAGGGTGTGTCCCACTGTGCTAACAGGACACACAGCCACTGACAGCGTAGTAAAACACACTCGTAAACACAGATGTATGCCAGCATGTCACACACAGTAATTCAATTATAAACCAATTGGTTCAAAACGCGGTTTTGCAAAGTGGTTTAGGGCCAAAGTGTGACAACAGGGCGAGAGAACATTTTACCACAGTTGCCATGTTCAGAGGAGCACTTGTTTCTTTCACCATGATGCACATTTCTATCAGGACAGAGTAAAAAGTAAAAAATTGTTGTTTAAATTAAAGTAAAATAACTGATATAGTCCAAAATAGACAGCATGACCGTTGAAGACTTGAGGTGTAGGATCTTAAGAACAGTAGTAGTAGTAGTGAAATATGAAGTCTTTTTAGAGTCCCTTACTTTTATTAACTTGACCTCTTTGGTTAGATCCCCCCTAGTTTTTGACTTTGAATTCTTTTATGATTTGTTCTACAGTTCTAAAATATGGATCCATGTACACCAGAAGTATTCAAAAGTTCAGTTGTATGTCATTTCAGATGTCCCGCTTGTAATGTTGAGTACAGTCAAAACTAAATGTTGCTTGATTTCCAGATTAAGTGAACACTCAAGAGGACCAGAGCTGTGTATGAACACTGAACATCATATAATAAACTAACTGTTTTTACGAAATGTCCTGTTGAAATGGATTTAACAATGAACTACTCTTGAAAATTATATTTATCTATCTCTTATCTAAACCATACGGTTACATCTCTTGACATGTTGATGTGCCATTTTGGGGCCTACATGGAACCCTCCATGTAGCTTTGGTCGGCTTCACTGTCACACTACCATGACTTACTGGGCCACTTGAATAGAACAGTTGTAAATGTTTTTAGTAACACCTGTGCTTTTCTTACCATGACAAGTTAAAATATCTGCTGTGAAAAAGGACAACTGAGCGCTGCTATGTGTTGATGTTCCGTCTTACAAAGAGGCCTATGACATCACCAGCAATCATCTGGCACACGTGGTATTTATTGGGAGATCGTTTTCACGTTGACAAAAGATGTAGATTATTCATATTTATGTAACATTTAATCGTTATAGCAGTCGATGTGACATTTCTAGCGTCTAGCAGGTGGAACAGTGTCCGGTATATGGACTGAAGGAACAGTTTGACTTTTTGAGAGTTAGCAGAAAAGATCAATACCCTTCAAATCAAGCTACAGATCAGAAAATTTGTTCTCATGTCAGTCTGCTCAATAGGAAGCTAGAGCCAGCCGATGATTAGCTTAGCTTAGCATAAAGACTGGAAACAGCTCTGTCCAAAAGAATTGGCAGCTATCAACACCACTTTCTTAAATTAAATCTTATTTGTTTAGTTTGTACAAAAACCAAATGCTGACAACAGGACTCCACTTGCCACAGAGACATACATACATATATATATAATGTGTTAATTAGTGAGAAATTGGCAGGTAAATATTTTTGATGTATTATATATACATATATAGCTGGTTCCCCCTGCTTCTAGTATTTGCTTATATATATCTCATTATATTTAGTGCACAGACATGACAGTGGTATCGATGTTACTCCCAGCACAAAAGCAAATAAACATTTTCTTTAACCTTTAACCACCTGCTTTTCTTTACGGACTGCTAGTTTTTTAAGGACTTAAAAGTAAGATTAGGTTATGTTTGGGTTTAAAATGAACAAATATGTAGTTGTGATGTTTAAACTAACTGTTGCTAACTATACAGCTAATATAACTGAAAGAGCAATGCATGCTGGTTGTTTCAACCTGAAGCAGGCGACAATGACCCCGCTGACCTGGAATGGACCCAAGGAACTCTGAAAGTGCAGTTCAGTTGGTACGGGGGCGACGAGGTAAGTGAACTGGAAAGGGACAAAAAGAACACAGCGAGACAGGAAAAGAACATTCATGGGAACGCGAGCAAGAGGAGGATGACATACTGGGTGGTGCCGTGGCTTCCGGTGGTGTTCTGACTGATTCAGAGTGGCATGTTGTTTTTTATTCAGCTGCTATTCAGCCATGTGCCCATCACAGCCTCCTGCAACATCCTCACACAGACACCTTTCCAACTGACAGCCAAATAAAAAAGGAAGACAAACATGTCACATCAGTTCCTGTTAGCTATGGGTGCCAAGAGGCAGGGACTGTTTTCTTCTTTTGAAAATTGTTCATCTCATAAGAACCCTGGAACTGGACCTTTTTAATGCAGTCATCATTAATGTTATCAATTACACCAATGCTTTTCCTGCATACATTGCAAATGTATGTTGTGAAAAAGGAGTATTCGTCTTCGTAGATGTGCCAGTATTTACTGTAAGGAAATGTGTTGGGATTCTCCCTCATAGACATTTGACTGACTTTTCAGTGGTAATCATATGCATAATGAAATCTCAACCTGCTCTTAAAAAGTTCTGCAGTTAATTCTTTAATACATCTTAGTTATGGCAAATGGTCTTTCTGACCTCTCATACATTCACACGTTGATGGCAATTTGGGGTGTGACATGCAGACTTTGCGAGCCGGGATTGAACCACCGACCAACCTTCTGATAAATGGACGACCGCTTTAACCAGAGTCACAGAACATCATTTCATCATTATGAAATTGTGGTAGTTACATTTAGGCCCAATCCCAACGTCCACCCCCACAGACTTTGAGGCGCGTTCCCGGTGAAAAGTGATCGTCCACCAAAAACTGATGTTTGGTAGGCCTATGTCTAATATCGTTGTTTATATTTTGAAAACTGACTGTAGCCTAATTAACATCACTTACTGCCAACTTAGATATAAAATTAAGACAATTTAGTAATAATCCTTATGACTCTGCATTATTTTACTTGCTGTGTAGGCCTACCAACCAATCCACTCTTTTTTACCTGTTAAAATACCTTTAAATGGCCAATACAACTCATAAAATGCAGTATTTCACTTGCCAGAAAATGATTGAAGCCTTTTTTTATTGACTGAAAGGTTATTTCTGCCCTGAAATTAGTTGATTAAATTCAGAAGAGTTATAGTTGACAGATTATAACTCACCAATAACTTTAAGAATACTTCTTAAAATGTAAACTAGCGGTCAAGCCTGCACTTTTGCAAGTTTAGGTTTAAGGACGTGTTTCTATAACAGTTCCAAATTAATTTTAAGCCAGCATTGAAGAGCCAAAAAAACCAAACAACAGGACCTGACTTTGTGAGGCTGGAGTCAAATATTGAGTCACACACACACTAAATGATTTAAACATTTCTCTCTTCTCTTTATTGACCCATCTCTCAAACACGCATTCATCTTCACATTCTCAACCTCTCACAGTAAAACAGTTTAATAACAAAATAACACATTCACATTCAGTTTTCAAAAGCGAGGCAAAATGTACAATAACTCATTTACATGTATGTAGTGGCTTAATCCACTCTGCAAATATCACAGCATCCTGCCATTACATAAACATTTATTACATAGACAAATGTGTTTTTGGTGTTAATGTCACTTTCAATGTAGTAGTAACATATGCAAACATCTTTTCACATCTTTTGGACCCATACAAAAAAATAAAAAATTAAATAGTAAATTCAAGCAAGCAAACACAATAAAATGTTTTCAGTCTATAAGTGACAATGGAGTCAGGTCTGCTTTAAGTGAGTCTTCAAACAATACTACAACAATACTTTTGCATATTCAGCCCATTTATAAATACATGAAGTATAATTGAAATCATTGCCAATCACCTACTGAGGCATACCATTGATATTTGAATGTGACCCCCAGACCCTTTCAGGTGTCTGCACTCTAATGCCTGAATGTATTTAAAACCAAACAGCTTGAAGGACTACATAGAAAAGCATTTTTAAAAATGTCAAATATCCTTCAAGTCAACATGACAATCACTTTACCACTATTCATCTCATATTTTCGCAGCTCCTCAAGATCTAACTGTGGATCCATTTCCAAATGAATAGGTTGGCATTTTCCTCTACTCCTATGGTTGTGAATTTGGGGCAACTGTCAATGGAAGCATTGGGAAATTGATGAAGAATAAAATAAACTGTTAGAATGCTTTTAGCGTTCCCTTGGAGAGTTTGTTGACTTTGAACCTTGGCATTAAAACTGAATTTAAGGTAAAAAGATAGGCCACATATCTGTGGCTTTGCTTACAAATTGTCAAGCAACTCACAAATACACAAAACGTGGACCAACTAACAAAGTGCAATAGTATTACTATGTACAGTAATTAATAAGTACAGTGATTGTCAGAAGATGCTCCAAACTGGACTTTTCAGTCCACAGCAGTAAGTCTTATGCTCTTCCAGTGTCTCACATTGTTCCTGTTACATGGCATCTCTGACAATCGCTGTCTCAGTCACGTAGGAGAATCTCTTTCAAAATAGATCTAGTATCTGGACTCAAAGCCTTCATCCAGTGTAGCTCCACCCCCGAATGCTTTAACACCCATAGAGCATAAATTAATATTTTTCATTCATATTCTGTAGATGGATTTTTACCACCACTTAACATATGAACACAAAAACATGCACACGCTGATGTTTTTTGTAAGACAAAATGCCACAGGATACATGGATTAAGAAGTGCAATGCAAGGGAAAAAACATCTTCAGATTGGGACATACATTTCCTCATTAGTAAACCCTATTGCAGGTTTTCCCTCTGTAAGCATTCATTTAATCTGTGGCATCACATCCAGAGGTTCCCCAAGACAACTCAAACCTCAACCACAGTCCTTTTAACAATCTAGTGCTAGTTAATGCAGCAATGTTTTACAGCTTGAACATCCTTAGGAGGTCCCAGCAGAGCCAAGTTTGACCCCGATCAGGGTCTGACTAGTTAGAATAAAGTCATAGGCACTGGTTTAGTCCTCTGTTGAAAACCGAGCAAAAAGAAGTCCTTCTGTTAAATGTACAATATGTCTGCATGTGTACAAGATAGCATGCGTCTGCACAACTAGCAGGGAGCGGCAGGTTCAGCTGTTGACTGTAGCGCTGCAGGGAAGGTGGGATGAAGGTCTTGTGACTGCAGGAGCCTACAACACAAAACGGAATATATTAACCACTGCACTGGTAATGCACTTAAAAAAATATGATATTCAGGGGTGAATTGTTAAAAGGATTCTATATTGAATGAATACTACGACAAAAGGATTTGAGCGACTCTGACCAGAGCCTAATTGTGATGGCTACACAACTGGGTCAGAGCATCTCCAAAACTGCAGCTCTTGTGGGGTGTTCACGGTCTGCAGTGGTCAGTCCCTATCACAAGTGGTCCAAGGAAGGAAAAGCAGCAACAGTGTCAGGAGCGGCCAAGGCTCACTGATGCATGTGGGGAGGGAAGGATGAGGTGAGCATCAGAACTGGACGACGGTCTGATGAATCACTGGGTGGGTGTGCGTAGCTTACCTGGGGAACACATGGCACCAGAATGCACTACGGGAAGAAGGCAAGCCAGCGGAGGCAGTGTGATGGGAAACCTTGGGCCCTGCCGTTCATGTGGATGTTTGTCTACAAGTAACACCCACCTAAACATTGTTGCAGACATGTACACCCTTTCATGGAAACCGTATTCCCTGATGGCAGTGGCCTCTTTCAGCAGGATAATGCTTCCTGCCACAAAGCAACAATGGTTCAGGAATGGTTTGAGGAACACAACGAGTTCAAGGTGTTGACTTGGCTTCTAAATTCCCCAGATCTCAATCCAATCCAGCATCTGTGGGATGTGCTGGACAAATAAGTCCGATCCAGAGGCCCCACCTCGCAATTTGAAAGGACTTAAAGGATCTGCTGCTAACATCTTGGTGCCAGATACCACAGCACACCTTCAGAGGTCTGTGGAGTATATGTTTCGATGGATCAGGGCTGTTTTGGCAGCAAAAGGGGGACCAACACAATATTAGGCAGGTGGTCGTAATGTTATGACCACCTGCTACTATATCGGCAACCTTATTATCAGCTTTGGCCATTGAAATTGGTCAACCACAAAAATGTACCAACCATCCCCGGGATAATCTGACTTCTCCACGAACAAAATCTTATAGCCTCTTACATATTATTCTGATGGCAAAATAATGCAACATAAAAAGTTTCAATCCTGAAAATCTGCAGAACAAAAACTGTATTCAGGATTTTTCTGCATCATTACCAATTACTGAGTACGTTTTTTCCTTTAATTTATCCCCCATCTGTATATATTCTGTTCAAACGTGAAATATGAAGTCATAATTAAGGGTTGTTTTTGTTTGCCTTAAAGTACTGCGTATGACTTATGACAGCTTTAATAGTTATGAATGTGGTCAAAATTAAGGATGCACCAATCCAATACTGATAAAGTTGTGTGCCTTCCACAGTAGCATCACTAATTGTGCTTTCAGAGCAAAAGCGAAGCAAGCGTTTGGGGCGGTGAGTTTACATACAAAGTCAATGCAAAGACGCGTAGAGCTGCAATTTCCTGTCGGGCGGCGCGAAGGGGGCGGTGCCGGCAAGGAATTTCGCATGACACTGAATCGCGATAGCCTATCAGCGTTGCGATTGTCTGTACGTCACCGACAGCTTCAGAGCGTTGTGTGGAGAGGGCCAGGCAGAGTGGCCGACTGAAAATCTGCAGGCGGCTGAGAGCTGCTAAACTTGGGCTAGAGGAGCAGGGAGCAGCGCTCCAGCTTTCGGACAAATAAACACCTGTAGTCGGACTGGATTCTGCTCTGACAACTACGCAGTTTGCTTGCGGGAGGAGCTCGGACTAAACTGCTTTTATTAAATTAGCATTTTACTTCAGTTTTTAGGATTACAACGTTGATTAATCTTAACTGGAGCTTCTCAGCAGCTAGCTTCCGTGCACATCCGGTTTCAGTGTTGTTGTTAGTGTCGTTAGCTCTGTCGGACTACGACTTCATATTTATATTAAAAAAAAAAAAAAAAAAAAACGGACAAAACTGGACATTACTTGGAGAAAAGAAAGTGAGGAGGTTGAACTTCCTGGAGAGTTCAGAAAATGTGTGTCTGTATCTTTATTCCAGCTATCGTTGTACTTACAACAATACTGTGACCAAGTTAGCATAGCATAGCCCTGATCGATCCGAACTCCATTCAGAAAACAAACATTTTAGAAGTTGTTGTCCTGCTGTCTTGCTGACAGACCTGACGAAGCATGAATTCATACGTTTAACAAATCTGTATCATATTGTAGTTTTTCAGCATCAGTTTGATCCGTTTATTGCTATTTAATCACAGCAAAATGTTTACTTTGGGTTCATACAGCTGTGAGTTGTGTTTATTCGCATTGTGTGTGAACACTCCAGGGACGTCCAGCGATAAAAGCGCGGCGTGGATTAATTTCGCATTTGGTCTGAATGCACAGTAAGCCCCGTGTCCACCAAAGCGTTTTTTTCCTGACCGTCTTTTTTCAATTAATTGCAATGGGAGCAGCGCGTTTTTACAAGCTAGTAAAAACACCAGCAGCGTGACGAGGCACTGAGCATTTTATCCGCGCTGGGCTCTGTGCGTTTTTTTTCCCCCCCGGTCGCTGAGAGTTGAAAAATGTTCAACTTTGGGGAAAACCCTGCGCTCGTCACTGTCACTTTTTACCCAGCCATCCAATTACAGTGCGGGAGGGGCAGGACACACCGAGCTCATCCGATCTTGAACGAAACAATGAGTCTACTCGTCAAGGTGTTTCCTTGCCCGCAAAATCTCATGAACCCACGTACTCATGTTTCAACCTTCTCTTCATGCAGAGCAAGGGCCAGAGCAAGCACTTTGTGGTGACATTTTTACATTCAGTAAAATTAGCCTAAGTAGGCTACCCTACTTGCAGCACATCACCTTCACGGAAATTATGCATCACAACCACAGTGTCTCGAGAAAAAAAAAAAACACTGCGCCTCCAAAACGCACCCTAGCGCTCCCAGCTAGGCGTTTTCAGAAGAGCAGGTGACATTTTCAGCTGATAAAAAAACGCTTTGGTGGACATGGGCCCTAAGTGAAGCTCTCCAGAAGTGAATGTAATGTGACTGCTGTTTGGTTACTCTACTTGTATGTGTATGTATGTATGCTTAAGGCTCTGTACACACTGAAGCCAAATTTCCCGTGAGGAATAATAAAGACTATCTAATCCAATATCTGCTTGATACTGTCTGAAAAAGCTGGATGGCTTATCGGTGACAAGTCAATTCAATTATGCAAGTACTATGCAATGCATCAGCAACACGCCGGTACCTGAACATTTTGCTAGGAGAGCTAACATAGCATGGAGCTAAAAACAAAGGGTCAGCAGTTTGGAGGCATTTCATGTTTGATCAGGCCTGATGTTGCCTTACATAAAGATTCCCAGTCTCTTCCTCACAGTGAGGAATACAACTTATTCATTTTACACTGAACTTTAGGATCGATACTCTGCATCGGCAGATCCCGAAGCCAGGTACCAGTATCGGGACTAAAAAAAGCCAGATTGGTGCATCCCTAGTCAAAATCTATTCTTGTAAGAGAAGACATGTGAAGTCATACATATTGTATAAACCAGACATTTAAACTATCCAACTCCTCCAATATGAAATACTTAGAATGCTTCCCCTTCTCAATCTCGCCACCCGGCAGATGAGTGACAGCTGTGTGGACCACAGCGGTCTGCAAGTTAAATATCTGGCTGTAGTGGAATCATTGTGTCCTGGGAGTTTTTGTGAATGCCAGTTGAGTGTCACATTTTATAACAAGCAGTGTCATCACACCCCAGCCTGCTGACTAGCAGTGTGGAAACATCACCTTGGGTAACAAACAAGCCGTTCATCAGCACTCCCCCCCTCAGCGCAGTGCATCATTCAGTCTACATCATCACTCTGTCCATCAATTTTCAATATAATTTTTGGAATATAAGTTTTCATCACCAAGCTAAAACATGACATTATTTTTCATCCTGTTTTCATGATAAGCCCATTACATACCCTTCACTTATTTTACAAAAAAGGTAGACTAAATCAACTTTCTTTTACCTTTATTAAATGAGCTTGCCTGCAGAAAGGTGAGCTCCTCCTGTGTGCAACGACTCAACATAGGCCAATGCACTCTGCATGGAGGTCAGACAGTAGCCTTCCTCTCCTATCAAATAGCTGAAAAGAGAAGCAAATGTTAGCGGTTAGCTGATGTCCGTAAAAGTGATAAATCTTTACTTTTGACGTCAAAGAAAACTGTGAAAGTGAAATAGGGACACAGAGAACTTAATTCTGACAGATCTGAACACAACCAGGCTGACCACAAAATCCCCAACATCCAAGCACAGATTAGAGCCCCAATTTATTTTTTTTTACTGTAATCCCACATCTTCCCATGTAGTAAAAGGACAAAAGGTAGCTGCATAACATTGAACACTAGAGGCACCAAAATGAAATTCTTGGCCGAAGCCGAATATAAATGAAAAGTTTGCCAAAAACCCATTTATTTTTGGGTTTACCATTGCATTAAATAAATAGTCAAAATATGCTTTTTACACAGCGTTTCCCACAGGGTTGAGAGACTATAGCGTGGGGTGTCCCAGGCCCTACACATGCGCCTGACCTTGAGGTTAGGGTTACAATTCTGGATTTATTCACGCACTTTAAAACATTAAAAGCATTCTCACTTTTATTAACAGCATGAGACGTTGATATATATTGTAACAGGCTGTATATATTAACTCATTGGGAGAAACTGGTAGTTCTATGTAACTCAGACGTTGATCACCCCATATCGCAAAAATGCCATGATCCTGTTTCGCTGCGAAGCTCGACCTGAGATTGACAGTCAATCAGGCTCCCCCCTTGAAGCATCGAATCTTTGATTATTTGGGGTCAGCCCTGGCGTAGACTTGACGCAGAAGTATAAATTGGCCTTTAGGATCAAAACCTTTTGGTAACACAAGCACAAAGGGAACAAAGAAAAGTCTGCTCTCGGTGGCAAGTTTAGATCCGTATTCAGGAAAAACTACATCAGTGCTGAAAGGGTTAGGACCGCTTGTGCAGCTGGCCGAGAAGCTCTGTGTCCGCAGTGACAATGGCCGCACCTCTGGGGTTTCCCTCCACTTCCATGAGGGCTCAGCCAATGGAAACAAGTTTTTGGTTTCAACTTCAGTCACAATGAATCAGTGCCTGAATAAACGGACACAGGATTTGGTGCTGTTTTTTTTCTCAGGCCTGTTCTTTGTGTGAAAGCCACATTGTAGCTTTTATTTTCCATGCAGGACCCTCTTTATTTGATCTCATATGGTCTGGTCCCCAAAAAAAAAAAATGGGAAAGGTCCAACTCTTTATTTAAAATACAGACAATATATTGTTTTGCTGCCCAGAGAAATCTCTGACCTTAGTATCAAACCACACTCGCTATTAAGCCTTCCAGCAACCAGAGTGTACTCAATTAACCAGGAGTGTAATCTTAAGGATGACAACTTTAACATCACTTTCAGTAAAGTCATGTCAAAAAAAGAGAAGAAAAA